GGTTGGTAATGGGGCAGCAATGGGGTGTGATAATGGGGGGGTAATGGGGTTGGTAATGGGGTGTGATAATGGGGGGGGTAATGTGGTTGGTAATGGGGCAGCAATGGGGTGTGATAAGGGGGGGGTAGTGGAGGTGGTAATGCGGGGTGATAATGGAGTTGGTAATGGGACATCAATGGGGGTGATAATAGGGGCATCAATGAGACGTTAATAGGGCATTAACAGAGGAGTAATGGGGCACCAGTGTGGGGGCACTATTGGGGGGCAGTGTGGGGTAATAGGGTATCACTGGGGGGTGGTAATGGGGGCATCAACGAGGCGTTAATGGGGCATCAATTGGGGTGACAGTGGGGGGGTAATGGGGCATCGATGGGGCGGTAACAGGGGCATCAGGTTTAATGGGGCATCAGTGGGGGTGGCAATGGGTCATCAATGGGGGAATCAGTCGGGAGTCAAGGGGTTGGTAATGGTACAGTGAATGAAGATAGCAATGAGATACCAATGGGGTGGCAAAGGGGGTGTCAGTGGGGCATTAATGGGGCATGAATGGGGGGATCAGTTGGGGGGGTCAGTGGGCCAGCAATGGGGTGTCAGCATGGGGGTCCCATAGCCGTGTCAGTGGGGTATCAATAGGGCTGGGAACGGGGGGGGGGGGGCATCCATGGGGTATCAGTAGGGGTGTCAATGGGGGGAGCAAGGGGGTTGCCCCATGGGGGTGATAATGGGGTATCAGTAGGGGTGGCAATGGTGGGGGGGCAATGGGGGTGACAATGGGCTTGGTCAATGGGGGGGTGCCAATGGGGGGGTCAATGTGGGGTGTCTGTGGGGGCGCTGGGTTACCCTCCCCCATTCAGGCCCCGGGATGACCCCACTGGGGTTGGGGGTAAGGGGGGGGGGGGGCGGATGTCCCAGTGGGCGGGGCCATGGGCGGGGCTGACCCCGCCTCCCCCCGCAGCCACCAACCAATGGTTCATCCCGGCCGTGCGCGGGGACATCCCCCCCGGCTGCGCCGCCTACGGCTTGGGGTGTGTGGGTACAGGCTATGGGGTGTGTGGGTACACATCTATGGGGTGTGTGGGTACAGAGCTATGGGGTGTGTGGGTACAGAGCTATGGGGTGTGTGGGTACACATCTATGGGGTGTGTGGGTACAGAGCTATGGGGTGTGTGGGTACAGAGCTATGGGGTGTGTGGGTGCACATCTATGGGGTGTGTGGGTGCACATCTATGGGGTGTGTGGGTACAGAGCTATGGGGTGTGTGGGTACAGAGCTATGGGGTGTGTGGGTACAGAGCTATGGGGTGTGTGGGTACAGATCTATGGGGTGTGTGGGTACAGAGCTATGGGGTGTGTGGGTACAGAGCTATGGGGTGTGTGGGTACAGAGCTATGGGGTGTGTGGGTACACAGCTATGGGGTGTTGGGTATGGGGTGTGTGGGGAGCTATGGGGTGTGTGGGGTGTGTGGGTACAGATCTATGGGGTGTGTGGGTACAGAGCTATGGGGTGTGTGGGTACACATCTATGGGGTGTGTGGGTACAGAGCTATGGGGTGTGTGGGTACAGAGCTATGGGGTGTGTGGGTACACATCTATGGGGTGTGTGGGTACAGAGCTATGGGGTGTGTGGGTACACATCTATGGGGTGTGTGGGTACAGAGCTATGGGGTGTGTGGGTACAGATCTATGGGGTGTGTGGGTACAGAGCTATGGGGTGTGTGCTATGGGGTGTGTGGCAAGTACAGCAACGACCTCTATGTGCTGCAGGTAGGGGGTGTGTGGGTACAGAGCTATGGGGTGTGTGGGTCCACAGCTATGGGGTGTGTGGGTACAGAGCTATGGGTGTGTATGGGTGTGCTATGGGGTGTGTGGGTACGAGCTAGTACAGGGGTGTGTGGGTGCAGGTAGGAGGCTATGGGGTGTGTGGGTGTGCTATGGGGTGTGTGTACGGCATGGGGTGTACAGCAACGACCTCTATGGGTGTGTGGGTAGGGGGCTATGGGGTGTGTGGGTGTGCTATGGGGCTGGTGGTGTACGGCAAGTACAGCAACGACCTCTATGAGCTGGGTGTATGGGGTGCATGGGGTGTGCTATGGGGTGTGTGGGTACACGGCTATGGGGTGTGTGGGCAACGACCTCTATGGGGTGTGCAGGTAGGGGCTATGGGGTGTGTGGGTGTGCTATGGGTGTGTACGTGCAAGTACAGCAACACCTCTATGGGGTGTGCAGGTAGGGGCTATGGGGTGTGTGGGGTGTGCTATGGGGTGTGTGGGTACGGCAAGTACATGGGGTGTGTGGGTACATGAGCTGCAGGTGTGGGGCTATGGGGTGTATGGGGTGTGCTATGGGGTGTGTGGGTACGGCAAGTACAGCAACGACCTCTATGAGCTGCAGGTAGGGGCTATGGGGAGCTATGGGGTGTGCTATGGGGCTGGTGGAGTACGGCAAGTACAGCAACGACCTCTATGAGCTGCAGGTAGGGGCTATGGGGAGCTATGGGGTGTGCTATGGGGCTGGTGGAGTACGGCAAGTACAGCAACGACCTCTATGAGCTGCAGGTAGGGGGCTATGGGGAGCTATGGGGTGTGCTATGGGGCTGGTGGAGTACGGCAAGTACAGCAACGACCTCTATGAGCTGCAGGTAGGGGGCTATGGGGAGCTATGGGGTGTGCAATGGGGCTGGTGGAATATGGCAAGTACAGCAACGACCTCTGAGCTGCAGATGTGGCACTGGGCTATGGGCCTGGGGGGGTTACTGCCACTATGGGGAGGGTGGCCATTGTGGGGGTGTCGGTATCACTATGGGGTCGCTATGGGAGCGTCACTGTAGCTATGGGGGGGTCGCTGTGGGAGGATTGCTATTTTTATGGACCATCATTATAAGGAATTGCTGTCACTATGGGGGTGTCAGTGCTGTTACGGGGGTGTCCATGTCTTGCTATGGGGTCCTATGGGGCTGGGGGGGGGTTCTATGGGGCTGGGGGGGGTTTTCCTATGGTTCAAGGGTTGTTCCTATGGGGCTGGGGGTGGTTCCTATGGTGCAGGGGTTGTTCCTATGGTGCAGGGGTTGTTCCTATGGGGCTGGGGCTGCCCCATAGAAGCCGGGACTGCCCCTATCCCACCCCCCCCCCAGGCGAGCCGCTGGGAATGGAAGCGCCTGAAGGCGAAGACCCCCAAGAACGGGCCCCCCCCGTGCCCGCGCCTGGGCCACAGCTTCTCGCTGGTGGGCAACAAGTGCTACCTGTTCGGGGGGCTGGCCAACGACAGCGAGGACCCCAAGAACAACATCCCCCGGTGAGGGGGGCCCCCGGCGCGCCCCACGCCTGCCCCGTGCCCCCACAGCCACCGGTGACCGCGTCCATCCCTCCCTCCCCTGCCCCACAGGTACCTGAATGACCTGTACGTGCTGGAGCTGCGCGCCGGCTCCGGGGTGCTGGCCTGGGACATCCCCATCACCTACGGGGTGCTGCCGCCGCCGCGCGAGTCCCACACGGCCGTGGTGTACACGGAGCGCGCGGCGCGGCGCTCGCGCCTCGTCATCTACGGCGGCATGAGCGGCTGCCGCCTCGGAGACCTCTGGACCCTGGACATCGGTGAGGGGGGCAGCGCGCTTTGGGGCCGGCTCCTCACCGGTGCCGTTGTAATTGGTGCCATCGATGCCATTGGCGTCACTGGTACTATTGCTACCATCGGTGCCATTGATGCCATTGGTGCCATTGGTACCGTCAGTGCCATTGATGCCATTGGTGTTACTGGTACCGTCAGTGCCATTGATGCCATTGGTGCCATTGGTACCATCAGTGCCATTGATGCCATTGCCATTGGTGCTATTGGCATCACTGGTGCCATTGATGCTACTGGTACTGTTGATGCCATTGATGCCATTGGTTCCATTGATGCTATTGGTGCCATTAATGCCATTGATATTGCTGGTTCCATTGATGCCGTTGGTGCTATTGATTCCATTGGTGCTGTTAATGCCATTGATGTTGCTGGTGCCATTGATGCCATTGGTTCCATTGGTGCCATTGGTTCCATTGATTCCATTGGTTCCATTGCTGTCCCTGCTGCAGAGACGCTGACGTGGAACAAGCCCAGCCTCAGCGGGGTGGCTCCGTTACCGCGCAGCCTCCACTCAGCCACCACCATCGGCAACAAGTGAGGCCAGGGGGGCCCTGAACCCCCCTCCCCTGCCTCCCAGGCCCCCAGCCCCCTCCCCAGGCCCCCCTGACCCCACTGCTCTCCCCCCATCCCCCAGGATGTACGTGTTTGGGGGCTGGGTGCCCCTTGTCATGGACGACGTGAAGGTGGCGACGCACGAGAAGGAGTGGAAGTGCACAAACACGCTGGCCTGCCTCAACCTGGGTATGGGACTGCCCAAAACCACCCCGAAACACCCCTGAAACACACCAAAATACCCCTGAAATACCCCCAAAACACCCTGAAGTACCCCAAAATACCCCCAAAACACCCTGAAGTACCCCAAAATCCACCCAAAACACCCTGAAATACCCCAAAATACACCCAAAACACCCTGAAATACCCCAAAACACCCCAAACCCACCTTCAACCCCCCCAAGCGCCCTCCTGACCCCCCCGGTGCCCCGCAGACTCCATGGCCTGGGAGCCCATCGTCATGGACACGCTGGAGGACAACGTGCCGCGGGCGCGCGCCGGGCACTGCGCCGTGGCCATCGCCACCCGGCTCTACATCTGGAGCGGGCGGGACGGGTACCGCAAGGCCTGGAACAACCAGGTCTGCTGCAAGGACCTCTGGTACCTGGAGACCGGTGAGCGCGGGGGCCAGCGGCACCCCCATCCCCACCTGGGGCTCCCTCATCCCCATCGGGTACACTCGGGGATCCCCCCTCCCCACTGGTTGCATTTAGGGATCCCTGTCCCCATTGGATGCTCTCAGGGATTCCCCATCCCCATTGGTTACCCCCAGGATCCCCCCCCATCCCCATTGGATGGTCTCAGGAATTCTTCCTCCTCATTGGTTATTCCCAGGACCCCTATCCCCATTGGTTACAGTTGGGGCTCCCCCCTCCCCATTGGTTCCCCTGTACCCCCCATCTCCCCATTGGTTTCCCCATACACCCCCCATCCCCATTGGTTACAGTTGCGCCCCCCTCCCTCCCCATTGCCCCCCCATCCCCCCCATCCCCATTGGTTACAGTTGGTCCCCCCCCTCCCCATTGCCCCCCCGTACCCCCCATCCCCATTGGTTACAGTTGGTCCCCCCCATTGCCCCCCTCCCCATTGGTTACCCCCCCCCCCCCCCATCCCCCCCCATCCCCCAGTTGGTCCCCCCCCCCCATTGAACCCCCCCATCCCCCCCCCCCATCCCCATTGGTTACCCCCCCCCCCCCATTGCCCCCCCCCCCCCCCATCCCCATTGGTTACACTTGGGGCTTCCCCATTGTCCCCATCCCCATTGGTTACCCCAGTTTTCCCCCCTCCCCATTGCCCCCCCGTACCCCCCATCCCCATTGGCCCCCCCCAGTGCTCCCCCCCCATTGCCCCCCCGTCCCCCCATCCCCATTGACCCCCCCCCCCCATTGCCCCCCCATCCCCATTGTTCCCCCCTCCCCATTGGTCCCCCCCCCCCCCCCACCCCCCCCATCCCCATTGGGTCCCCATTGGTTTCCCCCCTCCCCATTGTCCCCCCATCCCCATTGGTTACATTGGGGCTCCCCCCTCCCCATTGTTCCCCCATCCCCCCCTCCCATTGCCCCCCCATCCCCCCATCCCCATTGGTTACAGTTGGTCCCCCCCCGTACCCCCCATCCCCATTGGTTACAGTTGGTCCCCCCCTTCCCCATTGCCCCCCCATAACCCCCCATCCCCATTGGTTACAGGCATTCCCCCCATTCCCCCCCATACCCCCCCCATCCCCCATTGGGCCCCCCATCCCCACCCCCCATCCCCATTGGTTTCAGTTGGTGCCCCCCTTCCCCATTGCCTCCCCATTGCCCCCCCATCCCCATTGGTTACACTTGGGGCTCCCCCCTCCCCATTGTCCCCCCATCCCCATTGACCCCCCCCCCCCCAGTTCCCCCCCCATCCCCCCCCTTGCCCCCCCATTGCCCCCCCATTGCCCCCCCATAATTGCCCCCCCATTCCCCATTGTCCCCCCATTCCCCATTGCCATCCCATTGGGGCTCCCCCCATTGTCCCCCCATTCCCCCATTGCCCCCCTCCAGTTGGTTCCCCCCCCTCCCCATTGCCCCCCCATTTAACCCCCCATCCCCATTGGTTTCAGTTGGTGCCCCCCTTCCCCATTGCCTCCCCATAACCCCCCATCCCCATTGGTTACAGTTGGTGTCGTCCCCCCCATTGCCCCCCCATACCCCCCCCATCCCCATTGGTTACACTTGGGGCTCCCCCCTCCCCATTGGTTCCCCCATCCCCCCCTCCCCATTGCCCCGCCATCCCCCCCATCCCCATTGGTTACAGTTGGTCCCCCCCCTCCCCATTGACCCCCCGTACCCCCCATCCCCATTGGTTCCCCCCAGTGCCCCCCCCCCATTGCCCCCCTGTCCCCCCATCCCCATTGGTTCCCCATTGCCTCCGGTTGCCCCCCCATCCCCCCATTGCTCCCCCATCCCCATTGGTTCCCCCGTCCCCCCCCTCCCCATTGCCCCCCTGTACCCCCCATCCCCATTGGTTTCAGTTGGGTCCCCCCCCCATTGCCCCCCCCTCACCCCGCTGTCCCCCCCCCCCCCGCAGAGCGCCCCCCCGCTCCGGCTCGGGTGCAGCTGGTCCGCGCCAACACCACGTCGCTGGAGGTGAGCTGGGGCGCGGTGCCCACGGCGGACTCCTACCTGCTGCAGCTGCAGCGCTACGAGCTGCCCGCCGCGCCCGCGCCCGCGCCCGTGCCCTCCGTGCCCGCCAACCCCCCCAAGAGCCCCGCGCCCGCCGCCGCCGCCCCGGGGCCGCCCGCGCCGCCCCCCCCCCCGCCGCCGCCGCCCTTGGTACCGCCCGCGGGGCTCACGCTGCTCCCGCCCAGCGCCAGCGGCGCCGCCGCAGCAGCGCCCCCAGCGGCCGCAGCCGGCACCAACAGCGGCGGCGCGGGGGCAGCGGCGCCCCCCGCTGGGGGAGCCCTGCAGGTGCTGCCCGCGGGGAACCCGGCCCCCGCCGGAGCCGCCGCCAGCGCGGGGGGAGCCGCGGCCAGAGCCGCCGGTAAGGGGGGAGATGGGGGCGACATGGGGAGGACGGGGGGCATAGGGGGATACGGGGGCGTGTGGAAGGGTAGGGGGTTATGGGGGGTAAGGGGATACGGGGGAGTTACGGGGGGATATACAGAGGATGGATGAATGGATATAGGGACGTGGGATAGAAGGGCATGAGGGGATATAGGAACAATAGAGGAATGTGGGGGGACATGTAGGGGGATATGGGGGTGTATGGAAGGATAGGGGGTTACGGGGGGTAAGGGGATATGGGGGAGTTACGGGCGGATATACAGAGGATGGATGAATGGATATAGGGGTATAGGGACGTGGGATAGAAGGGCGTGGAGATGTAGGAGGATATGAGGGGATATAGGGACAATAGAGGAATGTGGGGGGATATATAGGGGGATACGGGGGCGTAGGGAAGGGTAGGGGGTTACGGGGGGGTAAGGGGATATGGGGGAGTTACGGGGGGGATATACAGAGGATGGATGAATGGATATAGGGACGTGGGATAGAAGGGCATGAGGGGATATAGGGACAATAGAGGAATGTGGGGGGACATGTAGGGGGATATGGGGGTGTATGGAAGGATAGGGGGTTACGGGGGGGTAAGGGGATATGGGGGAGTTACGGGGGGATATACAGAGGATGGATGAGTGGATATAGGGGTATAGAGACGTGGGATAGAAGGGAATGGAGATAAAGGAGGATGTGAGGGGATATAGGGCCAATAGAGGAATGTGGAGGAATATATAGGGGGATATGGGGGTGTATGGAAGGATAGGGGGTTATGGGGGGTAATGGGATATGGGGGAGTTACGGGGGGATGGGATATACAGAGGATGGATGAATGGATATAGGGGTATAGGGACGTGGGATAGAAGGGCGTGGAGATGTAGGAGGATATGAGGGGATATAGGGACAATAGAGGAATGTGGAGGGATATATAGGGGGATATGGGGGTGTAGAGGGATATGGGGGATTGGGGGGTAAAGAAGAACATGGGGGAATAGGGGAATATGGGGGTAACGGAGGGGTATGGGGGGCATAGAGGGACATGGGGATGGGGGGATATGGGGGGTACAGGGGTAAAGGGACAGGAGGGCGCGGGGGGGGTGTTCCTGTCCCTCCCCCCCCCGCCCTGAGCCCCCCTTCCCCCCAGGTGTGCCGGCGGTGCTGAAGGTGACCGGGCCCCCCGCGGCGGCAGCCGGCACCCCCCTGGTGACGGTGCGCTCGGCCGGGCCCCCCGGCAAGGCCCCGGTGACGGTGACGTCCCTGCCCGGCGTGCGCATGGTGGTGCCGGGCCAGAGTCCCCAGGGCACGGTGAGGGGGGAAGCACTGGGGTCATGGGGGGAGACATTGGGGTCATGGGGGTGCATTGGGGTCATGGGGGTGCATTGGGGTCATGGGGGTGCATTGGGGTCATGGGGGCTGCATTGGGGTCATGGGGGTGCATTGGGGTCATGGGGGTGCATTGGGGTCATGGGGGTGCATTGGGGTCATGGGGGTGCATTGGGGTCATGGGGGGCATTGGGGTCATGGGGGTGCATTGGGGTCATGGGGGCTGCATTGGGGTCATGGGGGTGCATTGGGGTCATGGGGGTGCATTGGGGTCATGGGGGTGCATTGGGGTCATGGGGGCTGCATTGGGGTCATGGGGGTGCATTGGGGTCATGGGGGCTGCATTGGGGTCATGGGGGGCATTGGGGTCATGGGGGGCATTGGGGTCATGGGGTTGCATTGGGGTCATGGGGGGCATTGGGGTCATGGGGTTGCATTGGGGTCATGGTGGTGCATTGGGGTCATGGGGATGCATTGGGGTCATGGGGGGCATTGGGGTCATGGGGGTGCATTGGGGTCATGGGGGGGCATTGGGGTGCCGGGGGCGGTGCTGACCCCGTGCCCCCCAGGTGCTGGGCAGCTCCCCCCAGCTCACCGGCATGGCCGCCCTGGCCGCCGCTGCCGCCGCCACGCAGAAGATCCCCCCCGCGGCGCCCGCGGTGCTGAGCGTCCCCCCCGGCGCCACCATCGTCAAGACGGTGGCCGTGACCCCCGGCACCCCCTCGCTGCCGCCCAGCGTCAAGGTGGCCTCGGCCCCCGTCATGGTGAGAGCGGGGCCCCCCCCGGTGCCCCCATCCCATTGTGTGCCCCTCATCCCCTGTCCCCCCATTCCCTGGCTCCCCTTCTCATGTCCCTCACGTCCCACTGTTCCCACTGTCCCTATATTCCTGCGTCTCCATCTGCCCATGTTCTGTGGTCCATGTCCCGTACCACCACGTCCCCGTGCCCCATAGCCCATATCCCGTATCCCACACCCAATATTCCATACTCACATGTTTTATCCTATATCCCATACGCTGTATTTGCATGTTGTATACCCCATATATCCGTGCCCCATAGCCCATATCCCGTATCCCACACCCAGTATTCCGTACTCACATGCTTTATCCTACATCCCATACGCTGTATTCCCATGTTGTATACCCCATATATCCGTACTCCGTGTTCTATATTGCATATACTATGTTTTGTATTTCACGTTCTATATTCTGTGTCCCCATAACCCATGGTCCCCATGGTGTCCCCATTGTCCTCATTGTCCCCATGGCCCCATGGTGTCCCCATTGTCCTCATTGTCCCCATGGTGTTCCTATGGTGTTCCCATGGTGTCCCCACTGTCCCTGTTGTCCGCATGATTTCCCCACTGTCCCCATTGTCCCCTTGGTGCCCCCATGGTGTCCTCATTGTCCCTATGGTGTCCCCATTGTCCCCATGGTGTGTCCCTTTGTCCCACCACCATGGGGACCACTCTCCCCATTGCCCCCCGCTGCAGGTGACCAACCCGGCCACGCGGATGCTGAAGACGGCGGCGGCGCAGGTGGGGACGTCGGGGGGGGCCGCGGCCACCAACCCCCCCCCCGCGCGCCCCATCATCACCGTGCACAAGTCGGGCGCGGTGACGGTGGCGCAGCACCAGGCCCAGGTGGTGACCACCGTGGTGGGGGGGGTCACCAAGACCATCACCCTGGTCAAGAGCCCCATCTCCGTGCCGGGGGGCAGCGCCCTGGTGAGTGCCCCCCCCCATTGACACCCAGTGTGGGGGGACCCCTGCAAGCCTCGGTGGGGGGGTCTGACCCCACTGCCCCCCCCAGATCTCCAACCTGGGCAAGGTGATGTCCGTGGTGCAGACGAAGCCGGTGCAGAGCTCGGCCGTCACCGGGCAGGCGTCCACCGGCCCCGTCACCCAGATCATCCAGGTGGGACCCCCCCATGGCACCCCCTGACCCCTGTGTCCCCATGGCCCCGGGAACCCCATGGCCCCGGTGTCCCCACCACCCCCTGTCCCCATCCGCCCCTGTCCCCATTCCCACAGTCCCCATCACCCCCCCATCCCCATCTCCCCCATTCCCACCCTGTCCCCATCACCCCCTTTGTCCCCATTGCCCCCCATGACCCCCCTGTCCCCATTCCCCCCCATCGCCATTGCCCCCATCCCTCCCATCCCCATTCCCCCCTGTCCCTTATCCCTCCCTGTTCCCATTCCCCTCCTGTCCCCATCACCCCCCTTTGTCCCCATCGCCCCCATCTCCTCTTGTCCCCATCACCCCCTTTTGTCCCCATAGCCCCCATGACCCCCCCGTGCCCCCCCCACAGACCAAGGGCCCGCTGCCGGCGGGCACCATCCTCAAGCTGGTGACGTCCGGCGATGGGAAGCCCACGACGCTGCTGAGCACGAGCCAGGCCGGCGCCGCCGCGGCCAAGCCCACGCTGCTGGGCATCAGCAGCGTCTCCCCCAGCACCACCAAGCCCGGCACCACCACCATCATCAAGACCATCCCCATGTCGGCCATCATCACCCAGGCGGGGGCCACCGGTGAGTGGGGACACCCCCTTTCCATTGCCCCCCCCGGCGCCGGCGCTGACCCCATGTCATCCCCCCCAGGTGTCACCAGCAGCCCCGGCATCAAGTCCCCCATCACCATCATCACCACCAAGGTGATGACGTCGGGCACGGGGACCCCGGCCAAGATCATCACCGCGGTGCCCAAGCTGGGCACCGGGCACGGCCAGCAAGGGGTGACGCAGGTAAAAGGGGGGGCCGTGGCCATGGGGATGCCCCCGTGTCCCCTGAGCACCCCCCATCATCCCCTCTCTGGTTGTGCCCCCCCCAGGTGGTCCTCAAGGGCGCCCCGGGGCAGCCGGGCACCATCCTGCGCACGGTGCCCATGGGGGGGGTCCGCCTGGTGACCCCCGTCACCGTCTCTGCCGTCAAGCCCACGGTCACCACGCTGGTGGTGAAGGGCACCACCGGTGAGTGCACAGCCCCACTGCCCCCCCCCGCCATCACCACCCTCCCCCAGCCCCACATTGACCCCATTGCGTCCCCATAGGGGTCACCACGCTGGGCACGGTGACGGGGACGGTGTCCACCAGCCTGGCGGGCGCAGGGGGGCACAGTGCCACGGCCTCGCTTGCCACCCCCATCACCACGCTGGGCACCATCGCGACGCTGTCGAGCCAGGTCCTGAACCCCGCCGCCATCACCGTGTCCGCGGCACAGAGCACGGTGACGGCCACCGGCGCGCTCGGCACCCCCACCATCACCATGCAGGTGAGGGGGCACCGCGGGGAGCCTGCGGGGCATCGTCGGGCATGGGGAGGTGGTGGGCTGGGGGTGGCCTTGGGATGGGGGGCAATGGGGGCGCTGGTGGCAGTGGGGGTGCTGGTGGCAGTGGGGGCGCTGGTGGCAATGGGGGTCCCTTGGTGGCAATGGGATCCCTGGGTGACAGTGGGGTCCCTGGGTGGCAATGTGGGTGCTGGTGGCCATGGGGTCCATGGGTGGCAATGTGGGTGCTGGTGGCAATGGGGTCCCTGGGTGGCAATGGGGGCGCTGGTGGCAGTGTGGGTGCTGGTGGCCATGGGGTCCCTGGGTGACAATGTGGGTGCTGGTGGCAATGGGGTCCCTGGGTGACAATGTGGGTGCTGGTGGCCATGGGGTCCCTGGGTGGCCATGTGGGTGCTGGTGGCCATGGGGTCCCTTGGTGGCAATGGGGGTTTTGGTGCCAATGGGGGTCTCCTCATTGACCCTATCACCACTGCCCCCAGCCCGTGGCCCCCCCCACCCAAGTGACGCTGATCACGGCCCCCGGGGGGGGGGTTGAGGCGCAGCCGGTGCCCGACCTCCCCGTGTCCATCCTGGCATCGCCCACGGCCGAGCAACCGGCACCGGGCGGCACCGAGCCCGACGCCGGCACCGTGACCCTGGTGTGCTCCAACCCCCCCTGCGAGACCCACGACACCGGCACCACCAACACCGCCACCACCACCATGGCCACGGGGCCGTGCTCTAATCCCCCTTGTGAGACCCACGACACCGGCACCACCAACACCGCCACCACCACCATGGCAATGGGACCCTGCTCCAACCCCCCTTGTGAGACCCATGAGACCGGCACCACCAACACCGCCACCACCACCATGGCGGCGGGGTCCTGCTCCAACCCCCCCTGTGAGACCCATGAGACCGGCACCACCAACACGGCCACCACCACCATGGCAAGGGGACCCTGCTCCAACCCCCCCTGTGAGACCCATGAGACCGGCACCACCAACACCGCCACCACCACCATGGCAAGGGGACCCTGCTCCAACCCCCCCTGTGAGACCCATGAGACCGGCACCACCAACACGGCCACCACCACCATGGCGGCGGGGTCCTGCTCCAACCCCCCCTGTGAGACCCATGAGACCGGCACCACCAACACCGCCACCACCACCATGGCAAGGGGACCCTGCTCCAACCCCCCCTGTGAGACCCATGAGACCGGCACCACCAACACCGCCACCACCACCATGGCGGTGGGGTCCTGCTCCAACCCCCCTTGTGAGACCCATGAGACCGGCACCACCAACACGGCCACCACCACCATGGCCACGGGGCCCTGCTCCGACCCCCAGCATGAGATGGGGACGACCACCACGGCCACCACCACCGTGGTCACCGCGTCCCAGCCGTGTTCCACCGCATCCTGTGAGCCCCATGGATCCGGCACCACCAGCAGCACCGTCATGGCTGTGGCATCGCAGCCCTGCTCCAATCCCCCCTGTGAGACCCACGAGACCGGCACCACCAACACGGTGACCACCACCGCGTCCCGGCTCTGCTCCAACCCCCCCTGCGAGGCGCACGGCGCTGGCACCACCACCACCACCACCACCACCACCATGGCGGTGGGGCCCTGCTCCAGCCCCCCCTGCGAGGCGCACGGCACCGGCACCACCAGCACGGCCACCGGAGCCACAGCGTCGCAGCCGGGCGAGAGCCACGACGCGGGCACCGCCGGCACCAGCACCGCCGGCCCCAGCACCGCCGGCACCAGCACCGCCGGCACCAGCCCCGGCTCTCCCCCCCCCAGCGCCACCGCGGTGACAGGGACAGTGCCCGAGGGGCCCCCCCCCGCCTGCTCCAACCCCCCCTGTGAGACCCATGAGACCGGGACGACCCCCACGGCCACCACGGTCACCGCCGCCATCGGCACCAACCCAGGTGACGGCAGCACCATGGGGGGGGGGGGGGGGGGGGGGCACTGTGACCCCAGCTGACCTCTATGTGTGTGTCCCCCCCATAGAGCCCCCCCCGGCAGCTGCCAATGGACAAGGGGAGTCGGAGCCAACCCCCCCTGGGGAGGGTCCCCCCCCCGGCACCCCCAGCCCTGGGCCCAGCACCACGGGGCCCCCCCAGCCCCGCGCCGTCACCAACGTCACCGCGGCCACACCGGTGCCAGCACCCGCCCTGCCGGTGAGGGGGGGCCTGGGGACACGGGGGGGAGCATTGGGGATGGTGGGGGGGGGTCATAGAGGACCAAGGTGGGGCATTAAGGGCTCTTGAGCTCTAGTGGGGGGTCAGTAAAGGCTATGGGGGCACATTGGGGATGGGGGGGGCATTAAGGGCTGTGGAGTTCTATGGCGGGCAGTAAGGGCTATGGGGGGGCATTAAGGTCTATGGAGTTCTATGGGGGGCAGTAAGGGCTATGGGGGGGCATTAAGGTCTATGGAGTTCTATGGGGGGCAGTAAGGGCTATGGGGGGACATTAAGGTCTATGGAGTTCTATGGGGGGCAGTAAGGGCTATGGGGGGCATTAAGGTCTATGGAGTTCTATGGGGGGCAGTAAGGGCTATGGGGGGCATTAAGGTCTATGGAGTTCTATGGGGGGCAGTAAGGGCTATGGGGGGGCATTAAGGTCTATGGAGTTCTATGGGGCGCAGTAAGGGCTATGGGGGGCATTAAGGTCTATGGAGTTCTATGGGGGTGCATTAAGGTCTATGGAGTTCTGTGGGGGGGGCAGTAAGGGCTATGGGGGGGCATTAAGGTCTATGGAGTTCTATGGGGGGCAGTAAGGGCTATGGGGGGCATTAAGGTCTATGGAGTTCTATGGGGGGCAGTAAGGGCTATGGGGGTGCAGTAAGGTCTATGGAGTTCTATGGGGGGCAGTAAGGGCTATGGGGGGCATTAAGGTCTATGGAGTTCTATGGGGGTGCATTAAGGTCTATGGAGTTCTATGGGGGGCAGTAAGGGCTATGGGGGGGCATTAAGGTCTATGGAGTTCTATGGGGGGCAGTAAGGGCTATGGGGGGGCATTAAGGTCTATGGAGTTCTATGGGGGTGCAGTAAGGGCTATGGGGGGGCATTAAGATCTATGGAGTTCTATGGGGGGCAGTAAGGGCTATGGGGGGCATTAAGGTCTATGGAGTTCTATGGGGGCTATGGGGGGCATTAAGGTCTATGGAGTTCTATGGGGGCTATGGGGGGCATTAAGGTCTATGGAGTTCTATGGGGGCTATGGGGGGCATTAAGGTCTATGGAGTTCTATGGGGGGCAGTAAGGGCTATGGAGTTCTGTGGGGGGGGCAGTAAGGGCTATGGGGGGCATTAAGGTCTATGGAGTTCTATGGGGGTGCATTAAGGTCTATGGAGTTCTATGGGGGCTATGGGGGCTCACTGGGGATGGAGGCTGGGGGTCATAGAGGACCATGGGGGGGTCCCTGATGTCTATGGGGGTCCCGTCCGCCCCCCTGTAACCTCCTCTTCCCCTCCCCCCCTTCAGAGCATCTCCTCGCTGACGGAGCCCCCCCCGGACCCCCCCGCGCCCCCCAGCATCACCCCTCCCCCCAGCAGCAGCGGGGCCCCCCCCGCGCCCCCCCCGGGCTCCCCGGAGCCCTTGGCCGTGGTGGTGCTGCCGGGGGGGGCCGAGGGCGGCGCCGGGGGGGGGGCGGCGGCGGCGCTGCCCCCGGAGCTGCTGGGGGGGGGCGCGGGGGCGCTCGTGGTGCCGGGGCTCAGCCCCGAGGAGCTGGCGGTGACGGCGGCGGCGGAGGCGGCGGCGGCGGCGGCCACCGAGGAGGCGCAGGCGCAGGCCCAGGCCCAGGCGCTGGCGATCCAGGCGGTGCTGCAGGCGGCCCAGCACGCGGTGCTGGGTGAGGGGGGGCATGGGGGTACGGGGTGCTATGGGGTACCATGGGGTGCTATGGGGTACCATGGGGTGCTATGGGGGTACGGGGTGCTATGGGGGGACGGGGTGCTATGGGGTACCATGGGGGTACGGGGTGCTATATGGGGGTACGGGGGTGCTATGGGGGGTACGGGGGTGCTATGGGGGTACAGGGGTGCTATGGGGGGGAGGGGGTGCTATGGGGGGTACAGGGGTGCTATGGGGGTACCATGGGGTGCTATGGGGGGGAGGGGGTGCTATGGGGGGTACAGGGGTGCTATGGGGGTACCATGGGGATACGGGGGTGCTGGGGGGGGTATGGGGGTACCATGGGGATACGGGGGTGCTGGGGGGTATGGGGGTACCATGGGGATACAGGGACCCATACAGCAGCATGAGGGTATGGGGACACTTGGGATATGGGACATCATGGGGATACAGGGGTGACATGGGGACACCATAGTGGACAATGTCTCCATGGGGGTGGCACATGGGCAGGGTGGGCTTGGGACCCCCATATCCCACATCCCTTTACCTCGTATGCCATATTGCAGTATCCCTGTACCATGTATCGTGTATTACCGTATTTCTCATCCCACATCCCATATCCCTTTACCCTGTATCCCATATTCCCGTATCCCACATCCCATATCCCATATCCATATCCCACATCCCATATCCCTATACCCTGTATCCTATATCCCCGTATCCCACATCCCATATCCCATACCCATATACCTCATATCCCACATCCCATATCCCTATACCCTGTATGCCATATTCCCGTGTCCCACATCCCATATCCCTATACCCTGTATGCCATATCCCCGTATCCCACATCCCATATCCCATACCCATATACCTCATATCCCACATCCCATATCCCTATACCCTGTATGCCATATTCCCGTGTCCCACATCCCATATCCCATATCCATATACCTCATATCCCATATCCATATACCTCATATCCCACATCCCATATCCCTATACCCTGTATCCCATATCCCCGTATCCCACATCCCATATCCCCTACCCATATACCTCATATCCCACACCCCATAGCCCATACCCCTATACGCTGTACCCCATACCCCACATCCCGCCCCCAGGTCTCTCACCGCATCCCCCCCGTCCCACAGGCACGGCGGAGCCCCTGGACAGCGGCGCGGAGCCCGGGGGGGCCCCCCCCGAGCTGGGGGTGCCCGAGGGCGCGGGGGGCCCCATCCCCATTGTGCTGACTCAGCAGGACCTGGCGGCGCTGGTGCAGCAGCAGCAGCAGCAGCAGCTCGAGGCCGCCCCCCCCGGCACCCCCCCGGCGCCGCCGCCCCCCCCGGCCCCCCCCCAGCTCCCCACCGAGGCCTTGGCCCCCGCCGACAGCCTCAACGACCCCCCCGGCACCGACAGCAACGGACTGGGAGAGGTGGGGGCCGCCAGCGGAGCCCCCAGCGATGGTGAGTGCCCATTGAGCCCCATTGAGCCCATTGAGCCCCACTGATCCTTATTGACAACATTGATCCCATTGACCCCCATTGAGCCCCACTGATCCTATCAACTCTCATTGAGCCCCACTGATCCTATCAACTCTCATTGAGGCCCATTGAGCCCCACTGATCCTATTGAGTCCCATTGAGCCCCATTGAGCCCATTGAGCCCCACTGATCCTATCGACTCCCATTGAGCCCATTGAGCCCCACTGATCCTATTGACTCCCATTGAGCCCCATTGAGTCCATTGAGCCCCACTGATCCTATCGACTCCCATTGAGCCCCATTGAGCCCCACTGATCCTATTGACTCCCATTGAGCCCCATTGACCCCATTGAGCCCATTGAGCCCCACTGATCCTATCGACTCCCATTGAGCCCCATTGAGCCCATTGAGCCCCATTGACCCCATTGAGCCCCACTGATCCTATCAACTCTCATTGAGGCCCATTGAGCCCCACTGATCCTATTGACTCCCATTGAGCCCCATTGAGCCCCACTGATCCTATCAACTCTCATTGAGGCCCATTGAGCCCCACTGATCCTATTGACTCCCATTGAGCCCCATTGAGCCCATTGAGCCCCATTGATCCTTATTGACAACATTGATCCCATTGACCCCCATTGAGACCCACTGATCCTATTGACTCCTATTGAGCCCCATTGAGCCCATTGAGCCCCACTGATCCTATCGACTCCCATTGAGCCCCACTGATCCTATTGACTCCCATTGAGCCCCATTGAGCCCATTGAGCCCCACTGATCCTATCGACTCCCATTGAGCCCCACTGACCCTTTTGACTCCCATTGAGCCCCATTGACCCCATTGAGCCCCACTGATCCTATCGACTCCCATTGAGGCCCATTGAGCCCCACTGATCCTATCGACTCCCATTGAGCCCCATTGATCCTCATTGACACCATTGATCCCATTAACCCCCATTGAGCCCCATTGATCCCATTGAGCCGCATTGATCCCATTGAGCCCCATTGATCCCATTGACCCCATTGATCCTGTTGAGCCCCACTGCGCCCTATTGATCCCATTGACCCCCATTGACCACATTGGGCCCCATTGATCCCATTGACCCCCATTGACCACATTGGGCCCCATTGATCCCGTTGAGCCCCATTGATCCCATTGACCCCCATTGACCACATTGGGCCCCATTGAGCCTCATTGACTCCCATTGTCTCCCATTGACCCCCCCAGGCCTGGCCCCCCCCAGCGCCTTCGTGCCCCCGCCGCCCGTGGTGGGCACCAGCCCGGCCAAGCTGCAGGCGGCCGCGGCCCTGGCAGAGGTGGCCAACGGCATCGAGAGCGTCTCCGTGGTGAGAGGGGGCTGCGGGCTCACTGGGGGCAGCTATGGGGCACAAGGGCTGGTTATGGGTCACTATGGGGTGGCTATGGGGCAGCTATGGGTTACCATGGGGCACTTATGGGTCACTATGGGGCAGTTAGGGGTTACTGTGGGGCAGATACCGGTCCCTATGGGGCAGATCTGGGTCTGTATTGGTCGCTGTGGGTCAGTGTTGTTCCCTATGGGTCACTGTGGGTCTCTGTGGGTCCTGGGGTGCAGAAGCAGGAGCCAAGCCCCCCGAAGGCGCTGCTCAAGAAGGAGAACCAATGGTTCGACGTGGGCGTCATCAAGGGCACCTCCATGATGGTGACGCACTACTTCCTGCCGCCCGAGGACGCGCCGCCCGCCGACGTGCGTGCCCCTGCCGTCCTGGGGTGTCTCTGGGTCCCTATGGGTGCTCTGGGTCCCTATGTGTGCTGTGGGTGCCCCTGTGGGTGCTCTGGGTCCCTATGTGTGCTGTGGGTGCCCCTGTGGGTGCTCTGGGTCCCTCTGGGTGCTGGGGGTCCCTGTGGATGCTGGGGGTCCCTGTAGGTGCTGTGGGTGCTCTGGGTCCCTCTGGGTGCTGTGGGTGCCCCTGTGGGTGCTCTGGGTCCCTGTGGGTGCTGTGGGTGCCCCTGTGGGTGCTCTGGGTCCCTATGGGTGCTGTGGGTCCCTATGGATGCTGGATGCCCCTGGAGGTGCTGTGGGTGCTCTGGGTCCCTCTGGGTGCTGTGGGTCCCTCTGGATGCTGTAGGTCCCTATGGGTGTTGTGAGTGCTGTGGGTGCTCTGGGTCCCTCTGGATGCTGGGGGTCCCTGTGGGTGCTGTAGGTCCCTATGGGTGTTGTGAGTGCTGGGGGTCCCTCTGGGTCCCTATGGGTGCTGGGGGTCCCTATGGGTGCTGTGGGTCCCTATGGGTCCCTATGGGTGCTGTGGGTCCCTATGGGTGCTGTGGGTCCCTATGGGTCCCTGTGGGTGCTGGGGGTCCCTGTGGGTGCTGTGGGTCCCTATGGGTCCCTGTGGGTGCCGTGGGTCGCTATGGGTGCTGTGGGTCCCTATGGGTCCCTGTGGGTGCTGTGGGTCCCTATGGGTGCTGTGGGTCCCTATGGGTCCCTGTGGGTGCCGTGGGTCCCTATGGGTGCCCCACGCCTCGTGCCCCCGCAGGACGAGGCCGGGGGCGTCCCGGACCATTCCCAGCTGCGGCGGCAGGAGCTGCAGCCGGGCACCGCGTACAAGTTCCGCGTGGCCGGGGTGAACGTGTGCGGCCGCGGCGCCTTCTCCGAGCTGGCGGCCTTCAAAACCTGCCTGCCCGGGTACCCGGGCGCGCCCTGCGCCATCCGCATCAGCAAGGTACCGACCGCGGCCTGCCCCGTGGCACTGCCCCACAGAGACCTGCTTCCTGCCCCGAGCGTGACCCACGGCTTCAACCAACCCCCGCAGTCAGGGGCTTGGCCCCAGACACATCCTTCTGACTGTGTCCCCAACACCCCCATTGCCCCCATTATCCCCATTGCCCCCATCACCCCCATTGCCCCATTGCCCCTATTGCCCCCCATTACCCCCATTGCCCCCATTATCCCCATTGCCCCCCATTACCCCCATTGCCCCCCATTACCCCCATCACCCTATTGCCCCATTACCCCTATTGCCCCCCATTACCCCCATTGTCCCCCATTACCCCCCATTACCCCCATTACCCCAATTGCCCCCATTACCCCCATTGCCCCATTGTCTCCATTGCCCCCCATTACCCCCATTGCCCCCCATTACCCCCCATCACTCCCATCACCCCCATTGCCCCCTGTGCCCCCATTACCCCCATTACCCCCCATTACCCCCATTGCCCCCATTACCCCCATTGCCCCCCATTACCCCCCATCACCCCCATTACCCCCCATCACCCCCATTGCCCCCCATCACCCCCATCACCCCCATCGCCCCATTGCCCCCTGTTCCGCAGAGCCCGGACGGGGCGCACCTGACGTGGGAGCCGCCGTCGGTGACGTCCGGGCGCATCCTGGAGTACTCGGTTTACCTGGCGATCGCCGGCGGCGCGGCCGAGCCCCGGGGGGGCTCCGGTGGCGCGGGGGGGGGCGGGGGCCCGGCCCCGCTCGCCTTCATGCGGGTCTATTGCGGGCCCAGCCCCTCCTGCCTGGTGCCCGCCGGCAGCTTGGCCACGGCGCACATCGACCACAGCACCAAACCCGCCATCATCTTCCGCATCGCCGCCCGCAACGACAAGGGCTACGGCCCCGCCACGCAGGTGCGGTGGCTGCAGGGTGAGTGCGGGGCTGGGCTCTGGCGTGGGTCCTGTGGGGCTACAGGCCCGCCGTGCAGGTGGGTGATGGGGCCCTATGAGGCTGACCCACGTGTATGGGGCTGGGTTACGGTGTGGGTCCCACAGGGCTATGGGCCTGCCGTGCAGGTGGGTGATGGGACCCTATGAGGCTGACCCACGTGTATGGGGCTGGGTTACGGTGTGGGTCCTGTGGGGCTACAGGCCTGCCGTGCAGGTGGGTGATGGGACCCTATGAGGCTGACCCACGTGTATGGGGCTGGGTTACGGTGTGGGTCCTGTGGGGCTACAGGCCTGCCGTGCAGGTGGGTGATGGGACCCTATGAGGCTGACCCACGTGTATGGGGCTGGGTTACGGTGTGGGTCCCACAGGCTATGGGCCTGCCGTGCAGGTGGGTGATGGGACCCTATGGGGCTGACCCACGTGTATGGGGCTGGGTTACGGTGTGGGTCCCACAGGATTATGGGCCTGCCGTGCAGGTGGGTGATGGGACCCTATGGGGCTGACCCACGTGTATGGGGCTGGGTTACGGTGTGGGTCCCACAGGGCTGTGGGCCTGCCATGCAGGTGGGTGACAGGGCCCTATGGGGCTGACCCACATGTATGGGGCTGGGTTACGGTGTGGGTCCCACAGGCTATGGGCCTGCCGTGCAGGTGGGTGATGGGACCCTATGAGGCTGACCCACGTGTATGGGGCTGGGTTACGGTGTGGGTCCCACAGGGCTATGGGCCTGCCATGCAGGTGGGTGACGGGGCCCTATGGGGCTGACCCACATGTATGGGGCTGGGCAGTGGTGTGGGTACTACAGGGCTGTGTGCCTGCTATGCAGGTGGGTGATGGGACCCTATGGTCCTGCCCCACAGGTGGGGGGCAGCCATGGGGCTGGGTGCAGGGGGTGAGAGCATCACCACAGGGGACGTGGCCGCAACTTGTGGGGCTGCAGCTCTTGCTGTGATGGGACTTGTGGGGCTAGAGGTGCCCCCCCATCACCCCCCAATTCCCGCCTCTGCCCCACAGAGTCCAGCAAGGACGGAGCCGGGGCCAAACCCGCCAGCAAGCGCCCGCTGTCTTCCCCCGACCTGTGAGTGGGACCGGGGGGGATCTATGGGGCTTGGGGGGATGCTATGGGGGTGTCTCTGGGGCTGGGTTGGGGCACTGGGGGTCTTGCTGTGGGGCAGGAGAAATAGGCCTGGCCAAGCCGTGGGGTGTGTGGGGCTGGGCTATGGGGCAGCCCTGCCATGGCTGTGGGGTATCGCTATGGAGCAGCCCCACATCTCTACCCCCTCCCCCCCCAGGAAATCCGCTCCAAAGAAGCCGAAGGCCGAAGGGCAGTGAAGGACCCCGCGGGCCCCTGCCCCATAGTGGGGGGGGGGAGGGACCGGAGGCCGCTGTGGGGCTCAGGCTCCGCTGTGGGGCAGGAGGGGGAGAGGGGCAGGGGGGGATTTTTTTTACCTGTTGCAGTTGCTGGATGAAGTTTTGTACTCGCTGCCCCTCCCCCCACCGGCCCCCCCTGTACAGACCCCCGGGGGCCGCTATGGGGCAGCCATGGGGCGCTGTGGGGCAGCCCAGCCCCCCCCTCCCCCCCGTGTATTATAGTGTATTGGGGGCCCCTCCCCCCCGTAACTGTCGTTTTTGTGCTATTTTGAGAATTAAAAGACATTTTTTTGGAGAAAAAAATGGGGAGTTTGCGTGGGGGGGGAGGGGCAGGGGTGGGGTCGTGGTGACGTAGAAGAGGCGTCCGAGGGAACGTCACCGCTTATTGGCTGTCGGGGGGAAGGAGCAGTGTTGCGGCAACCTCATTGGCTGGAGAAGGGCGGGAGGGGCGGGGCCAGCGGCGCGCCCGGGTTTTGGCGGGAAAGAGCACGTGCTGCTGGCGCTGGTTGGCGGGAGCGGGGCCAGGCCCTTGCTCCCACTGACCCCCCCTCCCCCACTGGGTCCTATTGGGGGGGGGCACCCCAAGAGGCGGGTCCCGGGGGGGGGGCATGGGCGGGAGTCAATGCAGATCAAAGCAGGGCTCATCAATGGGATCATTTATTGGGGGGGTCAAAGGAGGCCGCACTCATGTGCCCCCTCCCCCCCAGGGAACAGGCACAGCTGTGGGGCGGGGTCGCATGGGGGGGTTGGGGAGCACAGGGGGGTCCATGGCTCAGTCCGGGGGGGCGCGGAAGGGTCTGTGCCTGTACTGGGGGGCACGGGAGGGCCCGGGCCTGGGGTCGGGGCTGGGGGGGGGCCCAGGCGTCACTTGGGGGGCACAGGGGGGGTCGTCACCCCCCACCTCGGTGTCGAGCCCATAGAGCCCCAGCAGCTCCCGCTCCAGCTCCTCCAGCTCTTCTTGGCCCAGTCCAGGGCTCAGCACCTGGGGGGGGACACAGCACCCATCACCCCCAGCACCCATCACACCCCCCCAGCACCCATCACACATCCCCAGCACCCATCACCCCCAGCACCTATAACACCCCCCAGCACCCATCACACATCCCCAGCACCCATCACCCCCCAGCACCCATCACCCCCAGCACCCATAACACCCCCCCAGCACCCATCACCCCCAGCACCTATAACACCCTCCAGCACCCATCACACCTCCCCAGCACCCAGTACCCCCAGCACCCATCACCCCCCAGCACCCATAACACCCCCCCAGCACCCAGTACCCCCAGCACCCATAACACCCCCCCAGCACCCATCACCCCCCAGCACCCATAACACCCCCCCAGCACCCATCACCCCCCAGCACCCATCACCCCCAAGCACCCTGTAATCCCCCTAGCACCCATCAGGCCCCCATCAGCCTCTTATAACCGCTCCTGGCCCCCCCATAGCCCCCGTATAACCGCCCCATCACCCCTTTATGCCCCCCTTTACCCCATAGCCCCCCCGTACCTGCCACCAGTGGGGGGGCGCGCCGGGGGGGGCCCCGCACCCGCACAGCTCCATGGCCAGGTGCAGCGCGGCGGCCGCCACGTGCTGGGGGGGGCTCTGCAGCCCCAGCCCCCCCGCGGCCCCGTCCCGCAGCAGCGCCCAGGCCACGCCCGGCGCCCCCCCCCGCCCCCCCCGCGCCCACTGCCCCAGCGCCAGCGCGAACTGAGCCAGGTACTGCGGGGGGAGGGGGAACGGGGGCGTCAGGGGGGGCCCCCACAGCCCCGGATGGGGACTGGGGGGGTCCCAAGGGTGCTGGGGGGGTCCCATGGGTGCTAGGGGGCTTTCATGGGTGTCAGTGGGTGCTGGGGCATACCATGGGTGTCAGTGGGTGCTAGGGGGTGGGTGCTAGGGGGGGTCCATGGGTGTCAGTGGGTCTGATAGGTGTCAGTGGGTCGCAGTGCCTGTCAGTGGGTCTGACAGGTGTCAGTGGGTCGCAATGGCTGTCAGTGGGTCTGACAGGTGTCAGTGGGTGTCAATGGGTGCCTGTTACTGTGAGGGGGTCTCATAGGTGTCAATGGGTGTCAAGGGTTCCCATGGGTGTTAGAAAGTCCTGGGGTGACCCACGGCTGCCAGTGGGTGCCAATGGGCGTCAAGGGGTCCCAGAGGGTCCCATGGGTGTCACTGTGTATCAATGGGTGTCAACGGGTCCCAATGGGTGTGAGGGCGTGTCAATGGCTGTCAATGGGTGTCACGGGGTGTCAATGGGTGTCACAGGGTGTCAATGGGTGCCAGCCCTCACCTTGTGCGCCTGCGCCAGGGGCAGGCGGAACCGCAGCACCCGCAGCACCCACAGCTCACACTGCATGAGGCTGTCCCGCAGCGCCCAGAACTCCGCGTCCAGCGCCAACGGGGGCACCCCAGGGTGCAGGCACCTGGACGGGGGGGGCACAGGGGCACCCAATGGGTGCTATGGGAGGTGGGTCAGAGGCACCCATTGGGTGCTATGGGGGGGGTCAGAGGCACCCATTGGGTGCTATGGGG